TCAGCTCATTCATCCAGGCCTTTGCTTAGGTCACCTGTCAGCTCATTCATCCAGGCCTTTGCTTAGGTCACCTGTCAGCTCATTCATCCAGGCCTAAGGTAGAATAAAGCAGTGCTTCTCAAACTTGAATGTGCATTTGAATCACCTGGGGATCTTGTTCAGCTGTAGATTCAGATTCAGCAGGGCTGGGGTGGGGCCTGGGAGCCCTCTTTTCTGACAGGCTTCCAGGTGATGACGTGGCTGGTCCATGGACTGCACTTTGAGAAGCAAGAGAGCAAGGGCTAGCCCCCTGTGAAAGGGAGTGCTCCAGACGGTGGCAAGGGGGTTTCTAGGCAATGGGCAGGTTTGTGGCTATAGCTGAAGAGGGCCTTAGCATTGCCAATCCCCTGCTCAGCTGGGAATTGGGAAGAAGACAGCTTCTGGGGCAAGACACCGCCCCCCCACCCCCACTACACACACGTGCATGCCTGGAGGATGCGATGACCGCCAGGCTTTTAAAAAAGCCCTGTCCGTATCTTCCTTCTTACTGCCAGTGGCGTGGGGGAATCAGCAATCCACGAAAAGCCCCTTGTCACTGCCTAAGTCCCAAGCATAGAGGGGGCAGGCACGGTGGCCTTGGCATAGCCTTGCGAAAACTCCTTCCAGAAGCATTATTTTTTTTCCAAATTTGGAAAAACCCAATTTAATCTTGATGTTGCCTGTGTGTGTTTATCACTTCACTTCCTAATCATTCTTACCACTGTCTGGCTTTAGGTCTACTTACTTATGATTGCGTAGGGTACTCATCATGATGTGCACTTTTCCTGCATTTTGCTCTCCCCAGCTCTTGTCTGTTCATTGTCTCCACCTAATATGTGTCTCTATCTTGGACAAGTATGCTCGAGATTTCCTGCCTAAATAGGAATCCACGTAAAGCAGATAGAAAGGGAATGGCAGAAGAGGCAGAGTGGGTGAATTTTGTTTATATGAGAGCCACACGGTTTTCTTTTAGGTTCTGGGCACCTGGGCCAGTATGAGTTTTGTTTTCCAGGCTGTGTGAGGATTACCGAATTTACGGCTTCCCTTTAAACTCTCCTTTGCCCTTCCCACGTCCCTGGGTGCTGTTGTTAATAATATAACTTCACTGGGCCTCAAGAGGACAGAAACACTCCTAGATGGGATCGCTGTGACTCAAGACACTTGTAAGAGTTGTCAGTGTAACTTACGAGGGAGCATTTAAGTTCTTTAATAATTCATCCCTGCGTAATATTTCTGTGCTCCGTGGAACAAATGTAACAGTGGTTTTAGGGGTAATTTGTAGTAATTAGTCACTGAAACACCTCTTCCTCTTTCTTCTAGCTTCTTCTCTTGACAGCCTTGCTGCTAACGTAAAGGTAATTGTAGAAGTAACGTTTGTAAAATGATTTATTTTCAGCTTCTAATGCCGGTTATTGTGCATTCCCCAATGAGTGGTGGAAAGTATATTTCTAGCAAGTGCTGCTTATGGAAATGGAGTTGCTGTAGGTTCACCAGAGTTTGAGAGATGCCCAGGCTCCGCTGAATGCTTTGCATTTGTTGGTTTGTTTCCCCTCACGTAAGCTCTTTCCATCTGTAGAATGAATCCCCCATGTATATGGCCCCAACACCTACTTTATGAGTAGATATTCTTATTGCTTTTTTTCCTAAATGAATACTTTCATAATACAGAGAGGTGGTAAACCACTTGCTCTTGAAGTTTGATTGGTTTGTCAAGGTGAAGGCTCAAACTTCTTTGTTACAACATGAAAATAGACACAGGCAAAGAAATGGAGTATATGGTGCTTTTTATGCCGTGGCATTTAAATAGTTTATTTAAAAAAATTATATCTTTGCCAAACCCGATAATCCCTTATGCTCACAAATCAAAGCTCAGAGCATGAGTTTATTTTGGCTTGTTAATATATGCCAAATATGCAGAATTTTGCTTATCTTTCCTTGACCTTGAGCTTCTGAGCATTTTGTCTCAGTGGGACAAAAGCGGGAGCTTCCCTGGGGGGCAGCCTTCTATCAGCTTGTCCGCTTCCTCATCCTACCCACCCCCAGCTCTAAATTCAGCATACGAAAACAAAATCACAACTAAAGAATAATGCACATTGTCACTTAGGTCATCAAAGAGCCAGATGAACGGATTGTTTTAAGGAAAGAATCACCATCACCTTTAGATTCCAGTAAGTTTGGAAAACCCTCGCCCATTTACAGTAACCAAGGGGATGCCGATTTCTACGGGGAAGCTTCGTTTGCTGCCTCCCAGCATTCCAGATCTCCCAGCCCTCTTCTGGATCAGCCCCTTTTCTGCGACAAAAGGTTAGTGGCAAGCCCCCATTTATTTGCTTGAAGAGTGTGATGTGGTCTAGCAGGAGGAAATCCTGGTCATTTCATCACTTTGCTTCCTTAGGGATATTCAGCTGGGGATATGAAAAATCACTATTCCTTTTTAAATCTTCCTCGAAGGAAGAGTTGAGCCTTTTCTCTTGTCTGTGGAAAGCGTATCTCAGAATGTTTGTTGAAAATGGGACAAACAGCTCACTTTGGCATAGATGCCATTTATCTATCCATTTTGTCTTTCATAAAAAACAAATGGAGTGAAAAAAAAATCACCCATAGTCCTGCCACACAAAGCCAAAGATTATTAACATGTAGGTGTATTTTCTCTTTTTCTAGACATGTTTTCTTGGTTTATTTATATGATTGTCACAAATAATACTCCTCCTACCCTCACAATTGAATATATGTGGAAGGCAGGCCAGAAATTGAGAGAGGGACCTCTATTTTCCAAACTGCGCCATCTGGTAAGATGACCAGCTATCTGGCTGGCCTGGCACTCTTCTGACTTTAGCCCTTAAAGTCCTGCATTCTGGGAAACCCCTGACTCTCAGGCAAGCCAGGACAGTTTGGTCACCTTAACTCCAGGAAAATGGCACTGAAGATTATATATATATATATATATATATTTTAAAGATTTTATTTGACAGAGAGAGACACAGCGAGAGAGGGAACACAAGCAGGGGGAGTGGGAGAGGGAGAAGCAGGCTTCCCGCCGAGCAGGGAGCCCGATGTGGGGCTCGGTCCCAGGACCCTGGGATCATGACCTGAGCCAAAGGCAGACGCTGAACGACTGAGCCACCCAGGTGCCCCTGAAGTTAATATTTTTAAGACAGTTGTTAAAAATGGATAGTTGACATATTAGTTTCAGGCATACAACATAATGATTCAATATTTGTGTATATTGCAAAATGATCATCACAGTAAATCCAGTTTACATCGGTCACCATACATAGCTACAGAAATTTTTTTCTTGTGATGAGAACTCTTAAAGATTTATTCTCTCAGCAGCTGTTAAATGTGCATTATGGTGTTAACCATAGTCTCCATGTTGCCCATTATGTCTCCGTTATTTCTTTTATAATAGGAAGCTTGTACACTTTGACTCCCCTCACCCCTTGAGTCCAGCAACCACCAGTCTGGTCTCTGTACCTGTGAGCTTGTTCGTTTGTGTTCTTCCTTAGGTTCCACATATAAGTGAGATCATATGGTTTTTGTCTTTCTTAAGACAGTTGTTCTGAATGAAGGATATGCCAGTCTGCTCTTCTCTGCACTGTTAGTGATGAGAATAAGAGAAAGCCCCATGTCAGAGTGACATGATTGCTCACAAAGGGACTAGGTAGTAAATATCCCAGAATGAAAGTCAGAATGCAATGAAAGCCCTGCAGTTTAAATACAAATTATATTAAGTTTGACTAAGACTAAGAAAGTGGCAGTGCATTCTTAGTGTTTTGTAGAAATGATAGAATACCTTTATATTAAAATGTTGTATCATGGACTTGAGGAAACCAAATCAAATATTTTAGTAAAATCTATTAAAGAATGGAGAATTCCTGATTAGTTACTTTTTGAGAGGAAAATAACATGAAGTAGATTTTTAAAAATCAGCCCTGTCACCCCGAGTCAGGTGGTTAAAGACATTTACATCCCTCTCTCTACCTGGTCTTCATCTCCTCCTGGCTTATCCTCTGGACGTAAAGATTTTAAACAGAGACGGGAAAGGACCTTCAGCTGGTGGTAGTCAGGGGACTTGGGCTCTAGTGCTCATCTGTCTCTAACTGCTCTGTGATCTCACAGAAATGCTCAGCCTCGTATAGTCTCCCCATCTGTAAAATGGGTGTGATGATCAAATAGCCATTCTTACAGGTACTTGTTTTTATACATTGCCCAAACTCCTCCTTATAATCAGCCTAGCGAGCATTTCTGAGGGACTGAATTGGGGCTGCGTCTTTTGAGCACCTATTAGGTGGAATGTGCATGGTCATGACGAGTCCCGGTTGCCAGAGGTTCGCGCACTAGACCGGGAGGCTGGCACACCCTCGTGCCACTGAATGTGAGGCAGCTGGTGAGATGCAGTCCACAGGAGTACGGTCCCAAAGTGGGTGAGAAACAGAGCAGGAGGTGGGTACCTTCCTCAAGAGGGAGATCCAGGAAGGCCTCATTTTTTTTTTTTTAAATAAATTTCTGAGACGGCTTACGCATTCATTCAGCCAGCCTTTCTTGAGTGTCTTTATGCAGCCGGCCAGTGATTCTCAACTGTGGCCCACTAAGGACTCGCCTGCTATCTACTGAGTCAGAATCCCTGGGGTTGAACTGGGTGTGTGGTGGGCGTGCAGCATCTCTGTGGGTAGAAGAGTGCCTCGGAGGAGACCAGGATTGATAGCCAGTCTGCTAGCCTGGAATGGAAACCCTAACATTTAAGGCGTTTCTCCTGATCTCTGGGAACTTGCAACTTAGCAGAGGATGTAAAAACATGTGCATAGAGACCTTCCAACAGGCGGAATTTTGAGAATAGTATGGACCAAATGTTATCAGAGTAGAAAGGAAGAGGAAGGAAGGCACTTCTGGAATGCTTCGTGGAGGAGGGGGTATTTCCATGTGGGCCTTGCGGGATGGGGATTGGATTTTGATAGAGTTAATGGGAGGGAGGGATGGGAAGTGAGAAGGCACAGGGCACCGGCAGCTTCTAGAAGTTAGACCACCTTGGGGGAATAGTGAGTGCCAAGGCTGAGGGTCTGAGGGACTGTGGAAGCCAAGCTAAGGAGTTTGGGTTTTGTTGGAAGGCAGTGGGGAGCTTTTGCAAGTTCATTCTCAGGAGTTAGCACATTTGACTGGAGGATGGTCACTCTGGCTGCAGAGCAGATTTGTATCCTCTACCTCTGATGAATCAGCAAATTCTGTGTGCCCAAAGTCACTCTAAATGGAGAGCTTTGGAACCTAATTTGACCATGAATTTGTAAATAAGGCCATGATCAACTGTGACAAGGGAAAACACAGTCACGGAAAGGCCATCTGGCTTGCCCAGGACTGTCCAGTGTTTATCATACGTTAACTAAAGAGAATGATTGTATCCACATTGCTAAAATTCTTTAGGAATCTTTGGAAAATGGTATTTGTGTTTTTCATAATCAAGTGGCCAATTCTGCCTCAGAGTTTAGGCCTTGGTACCCACTCCCCTCCCAAAGATGAATGAATGAAGGGATGAATCCAGTCACTCAAGAAATATTAAATACCTACAGTGGTATTCAGTACCTACGAGGCCCTGGGATGAGCTGTTCACCTAGGATTCCCCGTGCCAGCTTCAGTCTAGGGGCAGCCACGGACATTAAGCAAATTCTGACCAGGGGTCACTGGTGAAGTCCCGTGAAGGAGGGGGAAATGGACTCCAAGTGCAGGTAGTAGAGTAGCCAACTTCCTCTTCTGGAGGGGGCTTGGGAAGGACTTTGCTGAGCAGTCAATGATTGGACTGAGCTCTGAAGGTGGGTAGGGGTTCACACGAGTGGGGAATCGGGGTTGGGGTGGCAGCATTCCAGGCAGGGGGAGCTGTGGAAGGGAGTAGATGCCTCCCGTCTGAGGAACCAGAAGGCACTGGTATGATCTGTGGTTAAGTTTGGGTCTGAGCAGCCTGAAGTAAATGAGATGAAAGATATAATGCTTGCGGTGGAAAACAGTCGGGGTTACGTTTTGTGTTAAACATTTGTGGATTAAATTTCTAAGCATAAAAGCAGGATTGATTCTTGAGAGAAGTATCTGAAATGCTCAGTAAAGTACAAAGAAGAATCACTCACAGCCACACACGCAAACATTGTGAAGCCATTCTTCACATTGTGGTTGCTTTTATTGTCAGTGTGTATCTTATGCATAGGGTTAATGAAGACATTGAAAGCACACTATGTAGGGTTAATGAAGACATTGACAGTGCAGTATGTATCCTATTTTGCATGTTACTGCTGCTTCTTGCTATTAAGTTATAAATATCAACCCACAGTGTTCTGTATTTGAAGGATCCTTTTTAGCAGCTGCATAATACTCCACCCTGGTTTCCTGTGTTGGGCAGGTTCCACCCTTGCTCTCAGTCCTCGTGGAGGAAGATCCACGAAAGGGCGTGCAGTCTCCTGACATCCCACAGAGATCAGCAACACCTACGCAAGGTAGGACGTCATCTGAGATGACGGAATCTCTGCTGACAAAATCATAGGGGAACTGGGACGTCCGGTCTGGGGCTGGGGGCGCGGGGGGAGGACACAGACATTAATCCAGTAACCACAGAGATAAATGTAAAATTGTGACACTTCCCAAAGAGGGTGCCTGGTGTCCTGAGAGTGTCTGAGAGGGGGTATTTGACTCGGTGGGGAATCAGGGCAGGCTTCCCTGAGGAAGACACAAGGGAGCTTCCGTCTGAGTGATGAGTCCTAGCGAGTTTAGGCAGAGGTCCTGCAGCAAGAGGGAGCACGGTCCTTTCAAGGAGAGAAGACAGTCTCCCCGGCCTGAAGCCCCACCCCTTGCGCTGTGAACGGGAATCCCGGTCCCGGGAAGCTGTGGTCTGTGTGAGGCTACAATGTGGAAGAAAATGTTAAAAGTTGATAAGGTGTTTTGGCTGTTGGACATGTGGGGTGTGGTTTCTAACCCGTGGATAGATACACCCAGTACTTTGTCTACTGCGGATGTGTAGCCATTAGCCAAGGGACCGGTCATCATTTCAAAAGAATTCCATGAAAGGTTAGCAGTGCCCCCAGTGGTTGGATTTAAGGATACTGTGTGATAGTCAAAGGGGTCGTCTTGGTCTTGACTTATTTAAACACAGGCATAGCCCAGATTTATAGGATGACACTTATGAATGAATATTGATTTTCACGGGGTGGGGTTGTAAATTACTCTGCTTCCTCTTGGCAAAGTCGTTGGTTTTGCTTTGTTAATTTCCAATCTTTTCAAGGGAATCCCTTTAAAATGTAAAAAGAAGGAAAAGAAGGGAGGGAGGGAGAAGAACAAGAAAGAAGAAAGTATCTGTGTGCACACGCGTATAGTAAACACCCCATGTACGGCACGCATGGGGTCCATAGGCCTTTTAAATGCAAAACCACGCATCTGAGTAGCATTGATTTATGTGACACTATGAGTAACGCAGTTGCTGGCTTGGCTTTTGTTATAGGAATATTCTATCTCTGAAGCAAAGTATATCTTTGAAAGACCAAGTTACCTGCTGAAGGAATACCCAGTGCATGAACAGAGATATTTTTAAGCTGCTGTCTTATGTAAGTAAGCAGCTTAAGTGCTGCTTCTTATGTTGATTTGCTTAAATAATTTCCTGCTGTCACGATGAAGTTAACTAGAAAATGTGGTGGACAGGAGATGGGGCAGAGACCCCCAAAAACCACACAGGAGAATGATAGCACATGTGTCTGTGGTCTGCCAGGCCAGTCTCTGTCTCTCTGTCTCTCCCCTCCCTGCCTTCCCTCTTCTTTCATGGTACCTCTTCTAGCTCCTGGAACACAGGCTCTTTCCTGCCACAGGGCCTTTGCACCTGTTATGCTCTCTATCTGGAATACTGCTTCCTGGTCCTACTTGGGTCACTTCTCTTTATCCTCTGGTCTCATGACTTTGCAGGACACTTCCTTCCCCTCCACGGTATACCTTTTTAGCGCCCTGCCCTTTTCTTTCCTAAAGCTGACATCATCTGTTGTTATATTTGCATATGGGTTGATGGTTTTATAAGGGGTTGATTGCCCCTTCTATTAATGAAACCTTCTCAAGGTCAGGGACTCTGTCTCTCATGCTCACTAGTCTGTAGCCAGCTTTGGCACCTGGCAGTGGAATCCCATTTAACGTAGATGAAGTCAACTCCATATGCTAGGAGTGTGTCCTGAGCGAGAACCTAACTCTCCCTCCTGCCACCCTGCAACCACCCTTGTAGCACGTGACCTGCCACTGTGGTTGGCGCCGAGTAAATATTTCTTCGTGAATGAGTGTGGAATGGGGTGACGAGGCAGCTGTAGAATTCGGGTCTGTGGTCAGCAGTCGGCCATACTGTGGGGTGACGTCACTCCTGAGGTGTTTTCTTCTTATCCCCTTCTATCCAGGCCTGGAATTATGAGAGCTCTTCCTTATGAAGTGCTTCCCGAGCGCCAGGAACTGGTGCAAACACTTCACATGCATTAGATGAGTTCATATCTAATTCTCACAACACCCCTATGAAGTAGGTTCTATTATTAGTTCTGTTTCACAGATAGGGAAACTGAGGCATGGGGAAGTTTAGGTGCCTTGCTCAAGGTCACATGGCCAGTGAATGGCATGTCTAGGAATATGAATCTGGGTGGTCTGGCTTCAGCAATCATGCTTTTATTTTTTATTAAAATTTTTTTTAAGAATTTATATTTATTTATTTATATTTATTTATTTGAGAGAGAGTGAGAGTGCATGCGCAAGAGCACAAGCAGGGGGAAGAGGCAGAGGGAGAGGGAGAAGCAGGCTTCCCGCTGAGCAGGGAGCCCCGATGCGGGGCTCGATCCCAGGACCCTGGGATTATGACCTGAGCCAAAGGCAGACACTTAACCGACTGAGCCACCCAGGCGCCCCAACAACCATGCTTTTAAACCATTACATCCTGTTGCCTCCCCAAACCTAGAGAGTGTGATAGGGGAGCCCTGGGGAGAAAGAGCAGAGCCCTCTGGAATCCGAGCAGGGTCTGTGGATAGCACCCTGGATCATCTCCCGTGAGGAGCCTACGCTGTTGTATATGCAGCAACATCACAATCATCACGAATTCTTTTAAGCCATGAAGGAGTGTGGGATGATATGCTAGGTGTTCATGCAGTCAGGCTCCTGAAAGTCTGGCTCAAGGGCCATTCATGCTTTAGGGCACAAGCCGCCTTCCCCCCAGGCTGGCCAGGAATCCCCGCCATCAGCACTGAGGAATGTGGAGGACAGCTTGGTAATAGCCCATTCTGTAGGCTTCTACCTCAGAACGTTCTGCTTGGTTGATGAAAGGATGGATTCTGGGCCACTTAATCTCCAGTTGCCAAAACAGTAATCTAGGTATTTATTAGGCGGTTTTACAGAACATAGCCCACATAATGACCACAATGGGAACATGGCCCACATAATGACCAAATGCCAAATTGTGTTGACTTTCAGCATGGGGGACATCAAGTTACATAAAACCAGCTGACACGTGGATGCTGATGGGAGGGGACAGAGAGAAGGGAAGAAAAAAAATGAGTAACTTCTGTCTTAGAAAGTGGGTTTCCTTGGGGCGCCTGATAGGCTCAGTCAGTGGAGCGTGCAACTCTTGATCTCAGAGTCATGAGTTCAAGCCCCGTGTTGGGGGTGGAGTTTACTTAAAAAAAACAAAGCAAAAAAAGAAAATGGGTTTCCTTCATGACACAAGTTCCCACCCGGTGGTTTGGAATGTGCTCGTAGGCCTTCTCTGGAAGATCTCCATACCACCCCCCCGCCCCACATTTTGGGTCATGCATTCATGGTGAGGCAGGGGTGCTAGAGGGCCGTGTTAGTGAGAGTGTTGGTGGTTGTAAAGAAACACAGGTGACTTTGGTTCGTCTTAAGCAAACAGGGCATTTATTAGAAGGATGCTGAGTATCTTAGGGAATCCAGGGAGGATCCAAACAAGCAAGATCAGGCTGCCAAAATGGGACAGCTAGAGTCCCCCCGCAGGTCAGGAAGACAGCCCTGGAGAGGAGCACCTGCAGAAGACCCAGCGGGCTCCCAGTACTTGTCGCGGGCCCTGCTTTTCTCAAAGACTCCCTCCTGCTTACAGCTCTAGTTCTTATCTCTTGCCTTTTCCACTTCTGCTCTTTCGCCTTTGAGCAGGCATCCCTCTCCTGGATTCCTAGTGATCTCAAGACTGGGGGAAATGAAACAGTAGATTCTTACCCCAGAAGGGCCAGTGATTCTTGAGCCCAAAACAGTGAATCTAATTGTCTGACAAGGGAATGGGTGGAAGAATGGGGAGGTGGGGGGGGCTTTGGAATACATCTGTTTCTCCTTATTCTGGATGATTTGGGACTTGGTACTTTTGGTATAAAATAGATGATCCCTTGTACACTTTAAAATGGTTAAAATTTTGTAAACATAAACAAAATTTTGTGTTAGGTGAATTTTGCCACCAAAAAAAAAGAAAAAAAAATCCCATAAACCACTTCCTACCTGCCCCCCCACCCCGATTATTCCTAGTTCTCCTGGAAGGAGGGATTGTCTCTGTGTCACGGTCCTTACCAAGGGTGGGGGCTGACTGCCCATGTCTGGCATGAGCTCACTGAGACTCTGCTTTCAAGGATGGGCTTGCAGGGCCCCCCTCTTTGACACCTCCTGGTCCCTCAGGCAGACCCAGGCCCTCTGCCCTCTGCTCCCAAACCTGCCTCCACTTAGCACCTTATTCCTCCAGCGTTGTATTGTAGTTGGTTTTCCTTATGATGACCCTCCCAAGAAGCGGACAGAGACTGACCAGATGGCCCCAGCTCTGACCCACTGAGTGTCCCACCACCGTGGCTGGCCTGCAGCAGGAGCCGCTCTCCTGGGCATGCTCCCAGCTGGAGGGTGGCCAAGGAACTCAGGCCTCATGTCCTCAGACGCAGACAAGAACTGTAGCACAGAAACCTCTCTCAAATCAACGAGGAGTGAAATGGAAATAAACCAAGAAAGAAACCAGAAAAGGATAGAAATTAATTAGAATGCTGGTTTCTGCTCTGTCACAGCTCATTAAGGGCTCCAGGTCCTAAGACAGTGGCTGGTACGGTTTCCACCCTCACTTGTCCCCAGTGGGCAGGCAAGAACCATGGTACCCCCTCTCCCAGGGGTCCCTTCATCTGTGTTACAACCAAAGCAAAAAGCAAACCAGCCTACAGATGCCCAGCTCCGACCTCGGGGTCCCTGGGTCTCTGATTCAGTCACAGCTTCTGAGGGGCCTGTTATTTGGTGGCTTAGGGGGATTGATACAGCGGATAATGACACACCTCCCTTCATCCCAGGACCTCTGGTCTCGCCAGTCCGACAGACCACACAGGTGGTGGCTGTGCACCCAGATCACGAGGCACATTCCTGGGTCAGCAGTCCTCAGTAAATATTAGAATCACCTGGGGGTCTCTGCAAAATTCTGATCCCTGGGCCTCACTCTGGACCAATTTAATTGGAATCTCTTCGGGTGGTGCCTGGAAAGGGTATTTTTATAGATGTTCTTTGGAAGATTCTGATGCACATTTAGGATTGAGAATCTTGCAGATGGCTGCAAGCACCTTGAGATGGGGGACTTGGAACAACCCCCCAATCCTATAATGACTCTCTCCGTGCTCAAAAATATGTTCCTGTTCCATAGAATAGGATGGGGGCATGCTTAACAGCTCAGTGCAGTTTCTGTGCATTCACTACGATCCAAGGACTGTGTGAACTCCTCGGGACACTAAGAGGTAGCTACTCAGCTTTTCCTCATCCTGATGTGATGCAAAGAGGCTGGTAACTTGCCCAAGGTCACGGAGCTGCTCTGCCCTGCTCCCTAAGGCCGCCTCTCCTGCCCTGGGGCTGTAGAGCAGGCTCAGACCCCGAGGGATCCCAGGTAGGGCTGCGTGCCAAGATTGGGCTAGAGTGACATCACCTTCTCCGCCTGGGTGCTGATGGTTTGCCTTTTTCTCTGTACCACGTGTAGTGTGTGAAATTTCCAATTTCACAAGGGGAACTGAAGGAAAGCTGGAGGAGCGTCATGGACAACTCACTCCTGGAGCCAACTGACACGTCCTTAGAGAAATGAACAACAGTTTTTGTTATGTGTATGGAATCACCAGTGTCTTACCCCTGTCAAATCAAACCCTGTACCCAGTCTTTTGTGCCCAGGTAAGAGTCGTTGATTAAAGTGTTTCCTGTGTGGGGCTCATGTTTTCTTGTCAAGTCGGAGAATTTGTGTTATAGTTGGTTGATGTGTTTGTTTTGAGCTCCAACTAGAAAATAACCATAGTTGGGTGGCAGGTGCTTTTTCATTTAGAAAGCACTTTTTAGAATTCTAATGAAAGTGTCAGGACGCCTTTTCAGGTGCTTCCTCATTTGTGGCACTGGATGGTTTTTTGTTTTTTTTTTTTAAGATTTTACTTATTTCTTTAGAGAGAGAGAGAGGAAGCACAAGTGGGTGGAGGGGCAGAGGGAGAAGCAGACTCTCCGCTGAGCAGGGAGCCCGATGCGGGGCTCGATCCCAGGACCCTGGGATCATGACCTGAGCTGAAGGCAGATGCGTAACCGACTGAGCCACCCAGGCGCCCCACTGGATGTGTTCTTGAAAAGTTTTAAAATTTTTCCTCCCATCATCCTCCTCTCCCCCCGCACCTACCCCTGCCCTTTCCTCCCCCCCCACCTACCCCTGCCTTCCCTCCTGCCCCCTCCTCCTGCCCTCCCTCACCCCATTCCTCGCTCCCTCCCTCTATCCTTCCTTCCTCAACTGAGATTTTACACGAACAAGAGGAAGCTGCTATTTAGAGGAATAACCTGATAAATCCTCCAGAAAAAGACTGTCAACATGATTTTCTTTTTGGTAAACCTGTTTTTTTGTTGTTTGTGTTTTAGTGTCAGGTTTGATTTACACGAAGTCCACTGGAAACTTAGGAAGAGGGAGCCTTATGTCTGGAGAATTCAGATCTTGCTCTAAAGGTTCACTTTCTAGGATACATTTGTAAGAGGAGACTAGTTTCTTTGGACTATAGTTTAAACCCCTCCTTCTGTCACCTACCCTCCCCCCACCTTTTTTCCAGCAGTGCTTAATAAATTTATACAAGGAACAAAACCTTCCTCAAATATTTCTCTGAAAAGCTACTTTAAGTAAATACAGTCTGCAAAAATGACTGCCAAAACCAGATTTAAAATGAGTTAGAAGGGCACCCTGGTGAAATGCTCACACAGACTGAGGGAGCGGGAGGAGGGGAGGATGGGCCTGGATGATGTGGGGCTGGAAGCGCACTTGTCTTCGTGGGGACAGGCCCAGAGCGAGGGGCCTGAAAACGGGAGCCTTGGTCTTTCTTTCACATTATAACTCGGCATCTTCCTCTACCATGCCCTAAATCCCTTTTAGTGTTTAAAGGATTCAGTGAGAGTCAAATTTCCTTCTCTCATGACCACAGGAATTGGTTTGTGAGGTAAATTAGGAAAACAACATTAATAAATAAAGAAGAAAAACCTTACAAAAACAATAAAACCAAGTTCATTTATTCTGTTCTCAGACTTTCAGCCAAGTAAAGGTGTGCATGTTACAACAAGCATTTCGTCCACTTTGGAAAACAGACAAATGTTTGATTACACCTGCTTATCTCTTTCCGGTGTGTCTGAGGCTATAGTCAGTTATTTTGATGTCGAGTACTCATTAAAAATAAAAAATACTGTGTTACATGAAGGCTGTGACACAAGGCTTGAACATAACTCCTTGATTCAGTTGAGGTATAAGATCTTAAATGCCCATTCTTATTTAAAGTCTTTTCTGTTTTTTTGTTTCTGTTTTGCAAATCAGTCTTTAACTCTATTGTTTATTCTTATTTTACCTTTTTATGTCTCAAGGAATTATTTCCATTTTGAGGAATCACCTTGGGGCCAGGATTGCAGTTGAGGTATTTTGCTTTGGGGGTATATAAGAATGTGAATAATTTTGCGATGGGTTGGGATTTCTTTGGGAAGATCTGTCTTTAAACATGATAAAACATTCCCACCTGTCTGGCTTCGATTTATTATCCTTTTTTGACTTGCACAGTTGCAGATCTGTCAAAGCCTGGAGCATATTTTCCAAGCAGGTGTGATGGGGGTCTGGGTTTGCAGAGGCTCTGGGAAAATCTCCTTGGGAATCTCCTGGGCCCTCCACGCAAAAGCCACTGTACAAAAAGGCCGTTTTCCTAAAGTCTCTTGACTGACCCAAAGTTCGCTGAAACCTACAGACCCCGAATTCTAAATAAGATCTAAAAAATGAGAGTGCACACAATACTTTTAACATAAAAGAAGGTGGTTGATTTTAAATGTGTAACTGAGAGGATTGATGAGTTACGTGTGCAAGTTCAGTCTAGCTCTTGGATGCCCGGCTGCTCTTAATAATGGCCATGACTCTATTCCATTAGTTCCAGCCCTCTGGCCTGTCGGGGCAGGGGGGGCAGCCTGAGGAAAGGGCATGCCTTCCTGTCCATGGGTGACCAGTGATCCTGCTGGTGCTGCTGTCCTCTGAGTAGGTGACCCATCCCCACACTCCTCGGGGACATGCAGGTTTGGAGTTCCCAGGTACTGGGAACCTGGCAGGCAATCAGAAGTGCTTCACCCCACGGCTGCTTGGGTCTGCTCCCACCGGCCCCTGCACGCTGGGTCTGGGGCAGCTGGAGCTGTTTTGTTCATTAGAGCAAAGAGCCTATGCTATGTTTTGCCTTCAGAGCTAGGAAACTTGGCATAAACAGCGTCATGCCTAGGACTAGAACTTTTCCTTGGTGCAAATGGGTCATTTTCAGGATGGGTAGGTTGTCCAAGCTTCTTGAGCAGAGTAAGGAGATCCCAGTCTGAAATTTTCCCCTGGGGACTCTGTATCTTTTAGAGTGATCCTCCAGCACTCCCCTAAGTATGGATTTTTCTTAGCTTTGTTTTAAAAGTGCCCTATTGCCCATGGTATACTATCAGCCCTCCTCATCTACCTGTAAGAATCCCCTGCTGGGGTTCGTTTGCTCTCTGTGGCTCTGTGGGGACCACAGCTTTGCCTCTAATGAGACAGGCAATAAACATAATGTATGGGCTGGATTTGCTTTGTCTGTGTGGGAGGGCCACATGAGGCGGGGGGCAGAGAACCTTCATTTCAGCACCAGGAACTCCAAGGTGACAGCACTGAAGGCCACCAAGGCCTGCCCCGGATATGGCGAAGGGGATTTGGGGGCTGCCAGACTGCCGAGTTACCAGAATTAGGACATTATTTTTTAAAAGATTTAGAGAGAGAGCACGAGTGGGAGGGGCAGAGAGAGGAAGAGAGAATCTCAAGCGGACTCGGTGCTCAGCGTGGAGCCTGACGCGGGGCTCGATCTCACGACCCTGGTATCATAACCTGAGCCGAAACCAAGAGTTGGACGCTTAACCCACTGCACCACCCAGCCGCCCCCAGAATTAGGACTTTAAAGGGAAGAGGGAGAAGAGAGACCTCCGGCAAGGTAGAGCGTTTGCGCTAAGGTAAGAGTTGAAGGACACGTGTTGGGTTGTGATTGGTTGGGAAGCTTCCAAACAAGTGGGGCTCTGTTTCTGCCGGTCCTGCTTAGTGTGAATGGGTGTCAGGGTGATTTATTCTAGGTTCTTCCACAGAGGAGGCCAGGACAAGGGCAACATTGAGGGAGAGCTACAGCCTTGTAGAGACCTTACCATCTAACTTTAGGAGATTTGGGATCCCAGTAGAGAAGTGGAATAAAGCATTTTTCCCTTCTTGCTGCCTGGGCTCCCTCATTTTTTCATTCCTTTGTTGAGTGCCTCAGTTTGCCAGCGCTGCATCAGGTGCTTCCCAGGGGCATCATAGTGAGGGCTCTGGAGTGAGAACACCTGGATTTGAATCCTGGTTCTGCCATCTAGTGGGTAAGTGACTGGGACAAAAAGTGACTTAGAACCCCTTTGTGTGTCTGTGTCCGTCTGTGTACTGGAGGCAGTTACAGTATCTGCTTTGTAACGTTACTGTCCTGAGCGGAGGGAGTTAGCACATTGCAAGCACTTTCTATCAGTGCCTGGTACAAAGGAAGTCTCAGTGAGGACCGGCTGTTATTATCTGCATCTCATTTCATTATTTGAGGAAGGCATTTGGCTCTCCTCCTGCCCACTTTTTTTTTTCTTTTTTTGCTAAGGACACCGAGGCTCAGAAAAGCTAATGAGTGTTGGAATCGATTTCCAAACCCTGGTCCGTTTTGTCTCTCAACCTCATATTCTTTCTACCACTTTCTGCACCCCCTTGCTTGTCACCTGATTTATCCCCGAGGCTTGTGCATACTGGATAATTCAACCTAAGGGGGTTTGCAAAACATGAACTCAGAACACTCCAGTACAGTGACAGGGCAACTAAGGTCTCCTGACAGGAGTTGGAACGAGGCTAACCGCTTCTCGTTTAGGCAAGAGATGCTTTCTGCTCTGATTTCCTGTCACTGGGATATGTTTGTAAATAGCGTCGTTTAGGAAGCCAGCTCCCTTCCCCTGCCCCCAATTAGAAATCCCTCTTCTTTGTCCTCTGGGAGCTGACACCTACTTAAATTGGTATCTTGAACTGAGATAAGTATCACACCTGTTTCAGTGGGATGACTTGCAGGGACAGACCGTGTGTAATAGGTGTCATTGCTGGAAGTGCTGGGTTCACGGTAAGAAAATGCGCCATCATGCAAGTTCACGCGTCCTTGCCTAAGGGGAGTTCAGCATGGGTGAAGGATACCATCCCGTGTTCATTGAGTCCTGAGGTCTCCCAGCCCTGACAGTTCACCAGATTGATTCCACAGTCTCGTATAGAATCACTCGATTTGTATTTATTAAGCTCCTACTATGTGCTCAGTACTGTATCGTGCCCTGGGGTTGGGGGGTAGCGGATGAGCTCTGTAAGGACTAGAAGATACAACCTGTGCCTTCCTGGAGTCTCTGGACTCGCTAGGGCACCGAGATGTGACTCTCAGAAGCTGTTGCAAACTCCGATGTCTTCAGGACCAGGCAGGATTCGTGACTGCCAGAAGCAGTGAGTGACGGGGACTGGGTGAAAGGGAGAGTCTAAGTCCACCCCCTTCCAACTCCCGCAAGGTGTTCAAATTATTCAAGTTCAAATCTAAAACAACAAAAGGCTCTATGGTAACATAAAACTGGTCTGTAGCTGAAGCTTGTCCACAGCCACATGTTTTGACTTGTATTTAAGGATATCAAATAACGAGGGGCACCTGA